GCCAAGAAAGGTTTCATCTCCCTAAAGCCCTGATGGCTACTTGAAGAGATCCGTTCTGGCCTGCTGAAGGGAACGAGAAGCCCATGAGAAACATTACTGTTTCTTTTGTCACAATGGATAGGCTGAGCTACAGTGATCAGAAGCCAACACTGCCATTGAAAGTAGAGTTACTCCCTTCTAAGCACAACAAATAGGGTTGCCAGGTGAGAGGCCTCCAGCCTCTATGCCAGAACATAACATCTGGGCACAACCTGGAAGTGACAATGAGCAGCTCTAGGAATTGCAAGAAACCCTATGGTTTTATTGTAGAGTTTCTGGTGCTTCGTAGAGCTACCCACTCTCACTTCCAGGATGTACCTGGAAGTGACATAGTGATGTTAGTGAGATCACATGCCCCCATGTCCCCACCCCCCAACCTTCCCATTGATTGCCAGGCTTGGCAACCCTAGCTTCAAAGGATGTAGAAGGCTGTAACACTGTTCAGGATCATACTACAAGTCCACAGCACTAAAATATACCCTGTACCATTAATATATTGCTCTCCTTGGATTTTGCCATCTTCCTTAGAAAATTAAAATGAGAGTATTCAATTCTCTTCCCCTTCTGGTTTCATAAAAGAGCAGATACAGCATTATAATCCCTAGTAACTGTGATCATTAACAAACATCATATACTAGATATTATTCCTAAAAGCATTTACATTTGTTAACTGGAAAAAGGACAATCTAAAGAATACTATTCACTTTCTTGTACACAGAATCTTACAAATATTTGTTGTACTCTCCAAGCATAAAATTATATATTTTTGAAGTTATTAGCTTAGCATATATGTTCATTACTCCTGAATCTATTACTATCACTGGTCACTTTTTATAAAACGAACCAAATAAAATAAAGGCCAGACCTTTTTAAGGCACAAGGCTTCTGACCGTGGCTTTCAGCGCTGATGTAATTTTGGAATAAAAATTGCCAGAAGCGGGAGAAGCTTCCTGCTTCTACAGACATCACTTCAACTTGGAAAGTAGAGTCTTGAGGAAAGGCTCTACCCACACACCGCAGAAGCTTCCCCGAACCAGTGTTCCCTCTAAGCTGAGCTAGTGTGAGCTAGCTCACAGTTTTTTAGCTTCCGGCTCACACATTTTTGTCTTAGCTCAGGAAGGATGGCTCCAGAGCAAACTAAGTTACGCAGTAGCCAATTTGCTGGCTCACAACTTTAATGCCAGTCGCTCACAAAGTAGAATTTTTGCTCACAAGACTCCACAGCTTAGAGGGAGCACGGCCCCAAATCCTAAGTAACTAGACAAATTCACAGATGTTTTAATTTGTACATAGAACTCAAGCACTGTTCATGGTGGACTTTGGAGTTTTACAGAATAGGCTTCTGTCCCTAAAGATTTTGTCAGAGACTGAGCTGGAAAGAAGACAGTTTCTTCTAGAATCACCAGAATAAGATACCCCCACCAATAAAACTTCCAACATTCTTAAGAGCAGACCATCTGTGCAATTAGCATCTTCATGGTGGTCTTGTCCTCCCCCTCGTCTGCATAATAATAATAATAATAATAATAATAATGGGGAAGCAGAAAAGAGTAAGAGTTCAGTAGCACCTTAGAGACTAACAAAATTTGCGGTAAGGTATGAGCTTTTGTGAGTCACTGCTCGCTTCATCAGATACAGCTAGAATGTGAGTCCATCTACCCTACGTATTGGAAAGTGATTTTAGATGCCAAATGACATTAGCAGCTAGATGACAGTAGCAGGTGTGATTGGATTAGGTGTGATATGCAGAGAGGTAGTAGGAGTGGAGAAATCAGCATTTGTAGGTTTCAATTCAGTCCAGGTGGATGCATTGTCGAGCTTTGTTATCAGTTGCAATTCATCAGTCTCTCTTTCTAAACTCCCTTTGAAATTCCTTTGTAAGATAACTGCTACTTTTAGGTCAGCAACTGAATGTCTTGGAAGGTTAAGATGTTCCCCCTCTGTTTTTTGAATATTGTGGTTTTTGATGTCACACTTATGTCTGTTAATTCTTTGTGGAAAGGACTGGGGAAATGTTAGGGGTAGAAGATTGTACCTTTCAAAGATAAGGATTTTCAGGGGCAGATGCTTTAAATGACATACCTGTACTTTGTAATAGTTGCACAGTGGAAGGCATTTCAGCAGAACAGCTTTCCTGCATATTTCCTCTACAACACAACTATTAAATATTAGAGATTTTAGGTAGCCACATTGGTTGGCAGAAATGTTCCTGTTGTGTAATACCTTTTCTTAGGACCAACTAAAACATCACAAAAAAGTGAAGAAGCTTTGGAGTCCACTTATTCTTCCTCAAACTGGAGGTTCAGAATAATAAACAAACGGGGGGGGGAGTTTCAGGAGAAAAGGCCCTCGTGTGGGCAGTCTTACAACTGAAAGCAGGGTATGTCGCAGACCTAATTGGACTGGTGGTATTGGATGCAAAAGAGGTTTCAAGATGGACCAAAAATTCCTAGATATAAAAGAAGAGGGGCAAGTTCAGCAGTTAAGTGCTGGCAAAAGGTTGACAGCTTTTTCTCTGACCTCTGCTTTAACAGCAGCCCTGTGCACGAAAGCTTATCCCTTTAATAAAACTTTGTTGATTTTAAATGTGCCACCGGACTCAACTTTGGTCTGCTGTTTCAAACCAACACGGTTACCCACCTGAAATAAGGGGTGCTGCTGGACTTGTTTGCATTTATGCCAGAAAGCCACAGGGAATCTCATTGACTTTACGAGGCTACTTCAAAATTACTCTGCTGCAAGTGGTTTCTAAGCTAGTCACCTTTTTTTAAAAAAGTGAGTAACCCAGCAATAACTGAAACCACCCTTTAACTCAGAAGCACTCAATCCCGCCCACCTGAAGTGTTGTAAAGGAAGTGGAGTGAGAAAAGAGGGCAAACCAAAAAAGGTAATAGATGAAGCCGGTGCTTTTAAAATTCCACAGCACCTTCCTTGGTTCACGGCCAGGTTTCACTTCCTGCTTCTTAAGAAGAAGCGAGCAGTGACTCATGAAAGTTCATACCCTACCACAAATTTTGTTAGTCTTTAAGCTGCTACTGGACTCTTACCTTTTTCTCCTGCTAAAAGACAGACTAACACGGCTACGCATCCTGACCCGCTACTTAAAAGTTAGGATCAGATTTCCAGGGAGAGAAGGGAAAACCAGGCTGCATAACTTGTCCCAGGTTTGCCTTTATTCCCTCTGTGCTGCCTTATCTTTTTAATCCCTTCTGCAACTCAGCAGCAAGTTAATGTTTGACGGACATTGTTGGGACGTTGTTGTCTGTCAGCCGCTCAGAAACCTCCCCTGGGCAAGGCAGGAAAAGGCGAGCTGAGTGGAGAAAGCTGAGGCGTTTCAGTTTTCCATCCAAGAGAGGTTCTGTTTGAGGAAGAACAAAAGTACAGAAAAGAAATAACACTGTGAAGAAAGAACCATATTAACTTCTTGATAAAAGTAGGTGGATAAGAGTCTATCTCCCCTTTGGGTGCCGCCACTGTGATTGAGGCAAGGTAGGGAATCAGGAGCGGTAGAAAAGCTGCTGTGCTTGTCTGCGTATGAAGCTGAAGTGTTTCTTTTCTAGTTCGTGTGGACTTTTCCTTAAGTCTTGTTGAATTCAGTGATTTTATTTCTGAGGAAGGTTATGTAACAGGATTAAGATGTAAGGCTGAAATCCTATGCCGTTTGGAGTAAGTGCCATAACCATTAGGTAGAACAAAGTTTGAATTCAGTGGCACCTTTATGACCAACAAAGTTTTATTCAAGGTATAAGTGGTAGTGTGCGTTCACACTTCTTCAGATACAATGAAATGGAAGTTACCAGTCCATATGTATAGGTAGAGGGTGAGCAGTGAATTAGCATACAACATAATGAAGATGTTTAACAGATTCAGGGACTTTTTTCAGGAATATCAAGCTTAGTTTAAATGGTTATCATTTGTTTGGGTTTAATTCTGGGGGAGAAACATAGTGAAGGAAATAAGTATGTCAGAATTGGAGATTGATGGCAGATGTATCCTTAACTGTGGAATGCTGAGAGTGATTAACTGAGACCCTGCCATTATGTTCCATCCATCTCCTCTCAAGCATAGAGACAACCTTACAGCATCTTCGTCTTTGAAGTGGGGTGATTGGCTGTGTAGAGTTATCTCCCCTGTCACTAGACCAAAGAAATACATTCCAGTCTACCATTCCAAATTACATTACATTCTACTATTTTAATCTACTATTCCAAATAAGGAATAAAATAAATAGGATGTACGGCCCTTCTGAGGGATTTAGTCCCGCCCTTCACTACCCGAAGGAGTCTCAGAGCAGCTTACAATCTTCTTTCCCTCCCCCTCCTCACAACAGACACCCTGTGAAGTAGGTGGGGCTGAGAGAGCCCTTTCGAGAACTCTCATGAGAGAACAGCTCTGAAAGAACTTGTAACTGCCCCAAGGTTACACCAGCAGCTGCATTTGAAGGAGTGGGGAATCAAACCCCGTTCTCCCAGATTAGAATCGGTGCTCCTAACCACTACACCAAACTGGTGAGAACACAGATTGGAAAGAACTCAGATGTATGGATGTAGTGTAATTTGTACATGAAAGCTTATACCTTGAATTAAACTTAGTTGGTCTTAAAGGTGCTGCTGGACAGAAACTTTGTTCTGCTGCTTCAGACCAACATGGCTGCCCACCTGAATCAATCATTAGGTAGTTTATTGGTGAATTAACCTGTAGAGGATCATAGCAAAAACATTGTAAGGATTTCAGATAACAGTTTCCAGTAACATAGCCATGTTGAGCTATAGGAGAAGAAATCTGTGGTGCCTTAAAGTCCGACACATTTTATTGTAGTATAAACTATTGTGGGTTTTAATCCCTTTTGCTAAACATGTTTCCACAGACCTCTTATTTTGTTTTTAAGGATATCTGGATGATGATGTGTGTCGTGACCCTTTCTCCCATTTTCCCTGTTCTCTTTGTAATTAGACCTGCTCATGGCAACACAAAATGACCAACTGGATTGTTGGGATATCATTGATGACAGCCATATTCCGGAGTTTGAAATGGCTCAGTGGATCAAGATCACCCTCGCACTGCTCTACGTCGTCATCTTTGTGGCAGGCATCTTGGGCAACAGCATCACCATCCACACCACCAGAGTGCTACAGAAGAAAGGTTACCTGCAAAAGGAAGTTACAGACCACATGGTCAGTCTGGCCTGTTCAGATCTGCTGGTCATCTTGCTGGGAATGCCTGTGGAATTCTTCAGCATGATATGGAGGCCGTTTTCTACTCCTCAAGGTGATCTAGCTTGTAAGCTGTACTGCTTCATTTTTGAGGCCTGCAGCTATGCTACAGTGCTGCATGTGGCGACTCTAAGCTTTGAAAGATACATTGCCATTTGCCACCCTTTCAAGTTCAAAGCTACATCCAGAACCTGTAAAGTGAAAATCCTTATTGCCTTTGTCTGGATTACATCAGTCTTGGTAGCCCTTCCTCTCCTCTTTTCCATGGGCACTGAATACCCCTTAGAAGGCATCCAGGGACATCGTGGGTTGGTTGCCTGCAGTAAACCCCAAGGGAGGTACCACATGCCTGTTCTGAAGTTAAATGTGACTATCTGCACCAGTTTATCCTCCAAATGGAAATTCTTCCAGACTGGTATCTTCACTGCCTTGATTGTGTACATTCTGGTGTTGGCGTCTGTAGCTTTTATGTGCCGGAAAATGATGAAAACCCTGATGCTCCCCAAACAAGGCACCTTAGTGGTAAAAGCAGAGCGGGAGAGCCAACACCAGTACCTAAGGAAAACTGAAAATCCAGACAGCAGAAGTTCCAGGAAACAGACTATCCTCTTTCTAGGTAAAATCACATGAGGTTGGTGTGGGGTTTTGTGGTAGAAATGGCTCTGGGAAATGTCAAAACAAGAGGGAAATCACGTGGCTAGGATTGAATCAGGTGGGAATGATGAAAAATGCAGTAGGTTTCAGATTCCTTTAGTGTTTCACCATTCCCTATTCATTATGGAAATAATTTCTGCTCAGCAGAAGGGAAGTGGCATGCATAAATTGTATGGAACCTGTGTGCTGGTGATATTAAAGTAAGCATTAGTGCCTTCAGAATGTGCATTTGAGAGGAATAGTTTTCATTTCAGCTGCATTTCTCTTTTCTTTAAGCACAGAGCCAAATGGCTGGGCTTTCCTTCTGGCTCATGCACCCCCCCCTCCAGTTTTCTTATCATCACTTTAAAGAGTTATTTTTATTGAAATGCTTCAATTTAAGTCTAAATTCGCTGCTCGTATAGCGCTAGAACTTTGTATCACTTAAATTAAGCATGGGGCACTAAAATTCAGTTTACTTTCTCTATACTACTTGAAATGTATATTCTCCCTTTTGGGGCAAATCAGACTCATTCTGCTGCTTTATAATCCACCCCATGATATGTAGGAGAAGGATGGAATGGGGATCAGTGGGAATTGATAGATTAATACATTAGACTTTTTTAAAGCCTGAAAGTAATCAGGAGTTCTTTGACTATTGTTTTCCTTGAGCCGAAATTCCTGGAAGTAAGACCCAGTGATATCAATGGGCCTTATTTCCGAGTAAATGTGCAGCAGCAATTAGGGTGCTGGTTAAAAACCTCATCGATACAGAATCATTTTTCAGCAGGGAATTGTTCACATCCAAATTGTACCCCTAGTCAGGTCTGTCCTTTCAGGAAACCATTTTTATGACTCCAGAGTGGCCAGATTGGGAGCTGGAGATGGCCATGATCCACCCCAATCCTAATGAGTTTTGTGACCCATTCGTCCACAGGGGAAGCGGCCCTGTAACAGCCATGCAAGCTTCTGTGAGCCAACAAATGTGTTTCAGGCAGGTTAGTGCTATCTGTTCATATGCCTGTCAATGACACTGCACATTCTCAAGGCTCTTATGTGGGAACCATTACTAAAACTGCAGTCTTTGGCTGCAATCCTAAGCCTATTTATTAGTGAAAAAGTACCATTGTATACATGCTTAGGATTGCACTGTTCATCTGACAACCACAAGAACAGATCTGGCAACAAAAGAAAGCTGGTCCTTCTGCTTATACTGGGTGCAGTCTTCTCCCAAATTCACTGTGCTAATAAATTGGCTAGAAAACAAGACAATCTAGGGGAAAGAACAATCTGACTTCCAAAGGGGAGCGAGTGAGATCAATCACTGCCACATTCTACAGTTTATTGTTGATAAATATACCAGTAATAAGAAGGGATCACGAAGTGTGGCCTTCATGGATCTCAGAAATGCTTTTGATACTATACCTAGAGATGAACGATGGGAAAAATTGGGGAAACTATCTATGGATGAACGTCTCCTATTTTTTTCATCAACTTTATGACCATCCAACAGCTCAAGTTAGGTGTGGCCCTCCAGGAGTACTGACGGATCTTGTTTTGCTAGATGAAGGTGTTAAAGCAAGGAAGCATTTTGATCCTTCTGTTATTTAGTTTATATATTAATAATCTGAATTCTTTTTTGTTACAAGAGGATTGCCACTCGCCTTATCTCGTATTAGTGAAGCTGCCAGTTCTCCTGTATGTAGATGGCACTGCCTTGCTGTCTAGATCCATAGTGGGCCTGCATAAGCTTATCTGTCTATTTCCTAAATACTGCTGTAGGGAAGGTTGGGTAATTAATGTAGCAAAGTCTAAGGTTGTCATTTTTGGTAGAAAACAGAAGGTGAGGGATTATAAATGGACCATGGCTGGTCTGCCTGTGCAACAGGTTACTCAGTTTAAATATTTGGGGATATTGTTCAGACCTGATCTTTTATGGAGAGCTCATGTGAGATCGGTACTAAGAGTTGTGAACAGCATTGGGAAAGAAATCACTAGATTCTTTTATACTCAAGAGGTCAATATGTACCTTCTGCACTCAGAGTATTTAAGGTAGCTGGTCATTTGTTATATGTGGCTGATGTAAGAATAGAAACTGTCACTGAGGATATTGATCACCCACTAATTAAGTTTCTTCGTAGTATAATGGACCCCCCGAAATGTATAGTGTTGTTCTAAGAGCTGAAGGGGGTGAAATATCTTGCAAAGCTAGGGCATGGAGGACTGCACTTAATTTAAAGATCCTGCATTCAGATCTGGAGTCAAGTTTGCTCGGTCTTACTAAATTAGACAATCATAAGAGCAACTGAGATAAATTGGTGAATTAAAAGCTAAAGTGCCCAGGGATTTCAATAGAGTTGATGGGGAGAGTAAATGTTGATGAGCTAAGACATCTGATTGAAATTTGGTTGAAACATCTGGATTATAAAAGTACATTAATAAGGTCAAGAAGAGTTTGTTCAACCTACACAATTGGCATTCCCCTACCAGTTTGTATCCCAATGTGTTTTTGTGATATAGACATACCTTTATGTTGGCGCATCTTAACACTTTACCATCTGCAGTCTTGTCAGGTCGATATGCTGGTATTCCATACTCAGAGAAGAACATGCAATTGTGACCTCAATCGCATTGAATCCATTGACCACGTACTTTTAAGCTGCCCTGAATTTTTAAAACTCAGATAGGAGCTGATTTCCCCCCTACTTAGTAATGATTCTGCTTCGCCAACTGCTGAGACTTCTAGGCTACTGAGCAATGAAGATGGATGGTTTACATAGACGGTCGCTAGATTTTTGGCTGTCGCTGTAGAAATTTGGAAACATTCTAAAGCAGCTGCATAAACTCTGTCATTTTGTGGGTAGCTTTCCATTAATTGCTTAAACATAAACTTTGAGCGGCTGTTTGAGACCACTGGGTCGAATGAACAGTAATAAAAAAGGTAGACATTCACTGTGCTTTAATCTAGGCCTTTGTGAGGGAGATAGTTGATTTGATCTTATGGATGCAGTTGCTTTCCTTGGATTTTTTCCCCCTTCTTAAAGTCTATTAAAAGACCAATAACCTTGGAATTATGTTTGATTCTGATCTCTCCTACTACATTTTTCAAACTAAACCTAATCAAGTTGTCATCTCACCATCCCGAGACTCTTTCCAGGCTGTGATCCATGTAGCCTCAGAATCTTGTGGAGGGCTCTTAGATGCGCTTTTCATCATGTTCTGCTTGAATTGCCACAATTCCTCGTTTTTGCTGGCTTGCTTCATACAAGTCTAGTGCTGCAATAAATGAACTAGCTAGCATATGAATGTGCACTCTGCCAAGCCAGAGTTGTTTTGATTTCTCTTTAGCTATCCACACTGGAAACTGGGGGTGGGGGAGGGGTAATTGTGCTATTCTGCCCTCGCTAGGTGCACATTTGCTATGATCTGTGGTCAATGAAATCCCAGCTAGTTGCTTGTCTGCAGAACAAATTTCCAAGCCAGGAATTCCAGATACAGTGAACGTCAGAGTGCCGGCTGTATCTATAAAATAGATTGTATTGAGGATGTCCAAATATGGGGGGTTTTGCACTGTGAGCAAGAGCCAATAATACACTTTCAATCTGGGAAAATGTATAGCTAATATACGTTCACAGGAAAACAGAAGATGAAGGGGGTTGAAGGAAAAACCAGGGATCTCATATTCAGGGTGCTTTGGAAAGGCTTTTGTTGGAATCCAGGAGACTTCTGCTTTTTATTACTATTTTATATGTCAACTTCTAGCTCATAATTTCTAGTTTTTTGTTTAACAAGAACAATTTAAAATGTTAACACTTAAAAATGATGTAACGTGTTTCAAACATAAGTATTTCACTTGCAGTAATATACTTACAACAGCTTTTTAAGGTAGACTGGTGGTGTTACCGTGTATCTGATTGTGAGAAAGAACTTTTTTTTAAAAAAAAGTTTGATTGGTAACAATTGACTTAGACTGGAGTAATTCTTTTTAAAAATATATATTAAAGAAGTTTAAGATTCACATACATACTGGGGGGTGGGGAGAAATTAAGGACACAGCATCTCAAAATTGCTTTATAAGATAGCAGTGACAATATAGAAGTAGTAAGACTATAAGATGAGTTCCTTCAGTACTGGGGGGAAAGGGTGTAGACTTTCCAATTTCCCGGGGGGGGGGGCTGGGGCTGGGCCAGAGGCATTGCTGTGCTAGGAGCACGGGTGGCTCCCAGGGAAGGCTGAGCACCTTCCTGAAAATTTTGGCGGGGGCTGAAGCCCCGCCGCCCCCACGAAGATTACGCCTGTTGGAAATAATATGACAAATTTATTAGACTGCATTTATGGCTACCCTCCCTCGCCCCAGCTTCCCACTTTACCTACAGACTGGAGTAACTCTTCATTAGATTGCACTTTTAGTAAGTGAATACATGGCTAGGGTCAGATTTGAACAAATTTCCTGAAGCGGATTCTTATTACTACACTAGTAGTGCAGTGCATTAGTATCTGATTTAGTACTACAATACTCAGCCAATGCTAAGCCCTGGGAGGATCTGATCTGAAAACCCAGAGTGCTTTCATTATCATTTTGAATTATTCTCGCAAGGACTGCTTGCATGGGGGGAGGTGCACATGTGTGCCTTCTGCTATTTGAACCTTGAGATTACTCCGGGTTCAAGTCATGTGATCTGCTTTAGCATTTGAATAAGTCTTGCAGCGGCATTGTGATCACCGGCTGAAAAGTACACAGACGGAGAGTGATTTCAGCAAAGCGTACTTTATTCGATCAGGAACAAGACACCTTGGCCGGCTCGCAGGCCGGCTTATATTCCCCTGAAAACTGCCCCCCAAAACCCACACCCACTTCCCAATAGGTTATTTACAGTGGCCAAGAGTTCCATAGGCTCTCGGCCGCGAACATAGCTCCCTGATTGGTGCAGGCTAGGATCCGCATAGTCCATTGTCTCTTTGAGCGAAGCTCGACGTTTGCTC